ATGAAATGAAATGGATTTTAACGTCCTACTGTTATTCTCCTAAACGGTCTAATGAAGACGGGCATACGCCAAACAGTGTGCTATGAGGGAAATTTTGCCCGGGCAGCGGCGCTACGGCCTACTCTTATATCGAATCCCAACGAAGCAAAATGATAACGGGTATGCCGAAACAAACTGATTTCAACACTGGTTTAATAACATTTTAAAGTACTTTTCGTCCGTCTTTGGAGCTCATCATAAATAATGTCATTAATTGAGAATGCGCATTACAGGTCTGATTGAAAGCGATTGCAGCATAATCTTTGTTCAACATTTTAATTTTCATATATGCCTGATGATCCCCGTAGTGATTGATTGAAAGCTTTAGCTAAGATAGAATTAGTTTTCTCTTTATAAAACTTCATAATTTGTATAAACTTTAACCTGAGAGTAGATTTTTTTATTAACATTTTCTTATCTTATATTGCGCTATATTATAATAATTCACTGTAGTGTGACAATATATACATAAAGCCCCGTATACTGCAGGTCACCATGGTCTACTGTGATTTACTTCCTTCTTTAAAAGTATTTGATGTGAGGTGTTGGTTTAACCCATTTCACTAAGTTGAGGTACGTATCACGGGCGGATTTCAATTGCTTGTTATTCTGTTGATATTGGTATAGAATATATGGTAAGTTTTATAATTTATATTTATACATTTAAAGTATCATTACTTGACACAAATATTATGATAATACAGATTCATACAGATTCAAATACCTGTCATTTTTTACCTTAAGTATAACAAATGAATTCGAAAAAGTTAACTTATACGTGGACGTTACTTCTTTATCATACAAAACAACACCACAAATTAGTTTGGTATGTGTAATCTTCAAATAGAAATATACGTTTTATAAGACGAAAGTTGTGTTTTTATCATACAAAACCACACCACAAATTAGTTTGGTATATGAAATCCTCAAATTGATATATACTCTTATAAGAAGACAACAAGTGAAAAATACGATATTAACTGTCGCTGTATATCGTTTAGTACAATTTTATTATTCACAAACTATAATAAGTCTGTCATGTTGTCATATAGGTTGTCAAATAGGGGGATGTAACGGACTCTAATCATATAGACTTATATAATCTGCAACTAAACAATACAATTTATTTAGTCTGTACACAATGGACTGTAAATCGCAATAACGCCCGTGCTCTTTAAAAGTATTTATTAGTAAAATGTATGTTTGTCTACTTCACAATTAATTCTCCTCTGACTCCCAAGACGTGACGTAAACATGACCTGGTTTGATCGAATTTTAATAGCAGGGCATTCCTTCGCAATTATAATGTTTGAGAAGGATTTGAAGCATAATTATGACAAATTAATTAGTTTGAATATGTTTTTGGTCCATATATACCATTAAATCACCCAGTTTGTACGCGGGAACCCATCTTTAATTTTGTACAAAAAATACAAACACATGTAACTTATACCTGATTATAATTATGTTATCCTTGAAATCTGGTATTATTACAGTTTCTCTAACTGTAAAATCCTGATCATTGCTTGATGTACATAGCTGCTATATTCACCAGCTTCAGTGTTGGATTTAATTAAAGAAGGGCCAAGGGCTATTCTACATATTAAGCCCCTCCCAATCCCTCACCCTCAAGGCTAGACGAGACGGAAAGGGTGTCTTTAACACATATGAACAAAGACGAGAATAATGTCGGATGTTTAAGTCTACGAAAGACGAGGATGATGACGGTTCACGTAATAAAGACGATGATGGTGACGGATGTATTAAGACTACAGTTCGTGTAAGAAAGACGAGGATGTTGACGGATATTTAAGACTGACTACGGTTCATGTAAGAAAGGCGAGGATGATGACGGATATTTAAGAACTGTATTCCAAGAACTTAGACCATAACCTACTAAGCCAAAAGGTAAAATGAATATCATATAAACTGAAACGATAAGGATATAAATTGAAAACAAAAAAATCTAACCACAGAAACCACAATAGATGGGTGATAGTACACAAACTGAAATGGTCAACTACGCGCAATATTATAGGGTTTTTTTTCAGGGTATTAGTCATCTAGCCAATGTATTCTAGTCAAATTGGATGGGAACTCCACATGTTGTATGTTTATACCTTTACAATTTTTCTTATCAACGCGCTACAGCATATAGTTTCTTTACACATTTTCATCTTTGTGTTCGCTGAAGTGTGCAACAGAGCATATGAAGATGTATATTTACCTAAACCAACATGCAATTATAATATTCTTCCTGCTTAAATATCCAGGGTTTTATTTAATTTACAAGAGCTTTCACCCTGTATAGATGTGTTTCAACAAATATTATGATTGAACATTAAAATAGACAACTACGACCGTTGGTAAGTTGTATATTATTGTGTATTGCTGCACACTTCGTGGATTATTAACATAGACAACTACGACCATTGGTAAGTTGTATATTATAAATGTCTATTGCTGTACACTGCTGGAAATTTTTATTCGAACAGCCATGTGCGCCACGGTGGCTCAGCGAGTAGGACGTTTGCTCGCTAACATAGAGGTCCGTTGGTCAATCCCAATCCTGGACGAGGAAATTCATCCTGATTTTCCGGCGTGGTCCCCCACCCCTTGTCAGCGATGTGGGACGCAGGGCCCGGCAAGGGACAATGTATAGTCATTCGGATGGGACGTAAAACCGAGTTCCCGTGTACAAATTGTTGGGCACGTAAACGAACCCTAGAAAGATGGAATTCAAAATAAGAGTAGGTCTAAATTTCTCTAATAATAGACTGTATAGCGTATGCCCGTTTCTTTAGCCCAGTTGAAGTAGAAAAGTAGGACGTTTAACCCCATTTCATATCGAACAGCCATACAGCCTGCATCTCTATGTAGACTCAAATTGATGAGCTCGACTATAAATATGGATTCAAGCGTTAAATCGCCAGCTACTATATAAAATTACCTTCTCGACGACAATAAATATGAATAAACATTGATGCATACTGACATTAAACCAACAGTTATTATTTAAACTTACCTGCTTAACTATAGATATGAATAAGCGTGGATGCATGCTAACATTAAACCATCAGCTACTGTATAAAATATATTCAACCTTCCTTTCACTGCGGCTGGTTGGATGGCCGAATGGTTAGCGCGTGCGCGTTGTATCATAACGTCTAACGTTTGGGCAACTGGTGTGTTTTCGATTCCCCTGTTGTACGTGACAAGGATAAGGGTCGACTGTCCAAACTCGTGGGTTTTCTCCGGGTCCTCCAGTTTAGTTTCCCCCCACTGTCCCGAAATGTCCTAGTTTGTGTCGAGTGGACGTTAAACCTAGTCTCTCTCTCTCTCTCTCTCTCTCTCTCTCTCTCTCTCTCCAAGATGTCAAAGTAATCAAGCGATTATCTCACTATAAAATATAACTCTCGCAGATAAACTCAGAAAATGAAAGCGGTTTAACGTCCTACTGTTGTGCTCCAACTGAACTAATGAAGACGGGCATACGCCATACACTTTGCTATGAGATACAGTTTATCCGGACAGCGGCACTACGGCCTACTCTTATATCGAATTCCAACTGAAAAGGGATCTTTTGCGTGCATGCTAATATGTAGACGAGAATTCGGGTTTTCCTATCTTCTGTCCTGCACCACTAACAATAACAAGGGTGGGGGGGGGCGGAAAAACCCCATGAACTTTTTCGACCAACGCAAGAATCGATAACGAGACGCCCATGTTAGCGAGCCTACGTCTTACTCGCGTAGCCACCGCGGCTCCCAGTTAAAACGTGTCACATAAGAGTAATAGTAAGATATTTAGAAATGTGTAGCATACTTTGATTTATAACCCAGATGAAATAGATCTGCGATGATAGACAACACATTGTATTGTCAATTACAGAACCAATCGAATGCCCAGGTAAGAAAAGATACAAATATTAATAAAGGTTCTCTTATTAACCATTTCAAACAAATACATGCATAGATTTAAATTATGTTTATAGAGTTCTCTTGGTTAAAAGGCACTGGTAAAATACCCGCCATAGTTATTAGGGCTTGTTTTAACTGATGCTGGTGGTTGAATGAAGTAAGTATAATAATTAGACCAACTATGTATTTATCATGCATGTTTTACTAACCAATTGTATTATATTTCACACACCGTCTTCTTTATATACAGTAAATGACTTAATACGCAACCAGGAAGATTTTCATATATCTATCTGCATGAGTGGTTTAAGGTATGCGGTTACATTCATTTTACTCTTAAAATCCAGGGATGTATTATGATACAAATGTAAGATGTTAATATAACCGTTTTAACATTATTATAGAGTGACACGGTTTTACAAATAAAATCTGTATATTTTTTTTCTTAGGTCTTAAGTATATTGTACAAAATGAAAGCTAACCAGTTTTCATTCGTAATGATAATATCATCTTTAATATTACATTCTAGTTCTGGTAAGTAGTCATCATGTTATATTATTTATATAGAATTATAAAGTCTAGCTCAATAGATAAGAAAAGATAGAATCAGACCTATTCAGAATATTATTCATGTTCTGTAGACGAAACAGGGTAAAATGGGGTTTGACGTGCACTCAACACCAACTCATCGTTAATTGAAAAAAATGACTTTCTTTTGACAGACACCCCTATTAAAATTGGAAACTTAGCTTGCTATTGAGGGTCTTTAGGTAGGTACCCCTTCGCCGTTTTACGCACGGGTCTTGGATCGGAACCACAGCACCTGCATCGATGAGAGAGGTATAATGATCCAAGGTTCAAGCTGCCATCAAAGCGTGAAATCTACATTATTCTGTTAGTGTGCATGTATTATTAGGTTATTAACACTATTCTCTTTTTACAGCATTAGTAAAACCAATATTATTCAGATAGTGTGCATGTACCTTTAATATCTATTTATTACCGGCTTACTAAAGTTCTTCTCTCGTTTTTCCAGCTTTAGATGAATGTAAAGATACAGACACCACCAACTGTCAATCATGTGGTAATACTGTATATCCTATAGATCAGTTTTATAGAGAGAACTGTATGAGGTCATGTGATGTTTGTATAGGTAATGCTTGTTTTACTGTATTGAATAATTTTAACATGTAGCTACGGGGTCTTAGTAATTGTATTATCGATTGGAAGTAGGATCAAGGAAATAAATCATTTACTAGACTTGCTATTGACAAACAAATCGACAATACAACTGCCTGTGTGTACTTAGTGCAGAAATACAGACAATCAGTTAACAGTGTTAGACCTTTTTAACATATTGAAATCATTTTTTCTTTAAACAATAATTTTTTACAGTTATATTAAATACATTAATTGACAAATTGTTTCACAATTATGTGTGATCTTATTTACATGATGTATTTATAGATACAAACATTGCTGTTGGAAAACCAACGGGGCAGAGTTCTAAATTAGATTTTAGATCATCTTCAAGTAATGCTGTAGATGGTAGTACTAATAATAACTGGAACAGTGGTCAATGTACACGTACAAAGAGTAACAATGGTAATGAATGGTGGTGTGTTGATCTTCAACAGATTTATAATATAAACATCATTAAACTATTTAATAGAGATGCCTGTAAGTGTTTCTTCTTCTTCTTTAGTCAATTTCGAATCTTTTTCGGTTTTGTTGTAAAATGCAAATATATTTCTTTGCACACCATTTCATCTACTCAATTGTGGATATAATGTGGTTGTTTTACTGGATGGGTTTTACTGACATTTGGAACAAACGTAGAACGTGGCTTTATCTAAAGACTTAGAAATTCCCAGAAACATTAACATGAACAATTAAAAATTAAAAATGCTAATACTATATTTAGTGTACTTGAACATATATAAAAAATACGTTCAGTAAAGTTAAATAACAACAATTTTATAGTTGACAAATAAACACTTTCATAGATGAACAGATCAAAATGTAGTAGAAGAATAACCATGTGGATATTAAATCAGTTTACTGAAAGTATCCGTCATGTTCTATTTAAAATCGTTTAAGTATCCTCTAAATGGATTCAATGGCACAGAAATAACAAATCCCTCTAGTGCGAGTTGAATAACGTTATTTAAATCTCCTAACTGAAAATAGTGGGAATGTTGTATTTAAAATCGTTTGTAAATATATATTTGATACTTTTTGGACTAATTATCGGTACGGCGTATGTCCAACAGTCAGTCATCTAACATTCCTGGTAAATGTAACCAGTTCAGTTTGAGAAATCCTGATATGAAAACCTAATCTGCAGTCAGTAACTAATAGTGTTCAGATAAAGATTAATGTTTATTCGTGGTATCCTGGGTAAATCTCTGGAGCAAACAAATCCACAGGCAATAACTGATCGAATAATGTTACATTTTTCTAGTTAAAGACAGATTACAGGGATTTGAGATTAAGACAAGTTCTAATGGTCAGTGTAATCAAACAGGATTTACATCAGCTACATCATGTTATAAAGATACACCACCAACAACACAAGATGTTTATACAATAGATAGATGTAATCAACCTATATCAACTAGTATATCTGCAAGAACAGTATATGTCACTGTTTCAAGTGAAGTAGTTACTTTATGTGAAGTTCAGATATTTTCTGGTAAGAAATAATACACTAAACGCAAATATTTCGTACATGGATGATATTACTGACATACAGTTCAGTTGCAGTTCTAGAACGGGCTACATAAAATGTAGATGTTGTTCATTAAAGAGGGGGTGTGTATGGGGTATAATTCATGAGACCGATTAACTTGAATGCCACCGTTTCGTTTTGGAGAATCTCATTTTGAAGTATATCACACTCCTCGCATTGATTCGTTCGATTAGACCCATTCCAACTCAACGGATTTCTCGGGCATTGCCTCAGTAATATGATGGATATGGGTGTTGGTAAGTTTGAAATATTTGATTTGGTGGACGGCGACACAGAAACCATAGCCTTATTGAATAGGTTAAAAATGTTCTTCCTTTCTCAAATCGCAATATATTCCACACGTACCTTTTTAAACATGCATTTATAATATTCGATCTTTTAAAACAGATACATCCACCAATGTTGCTCTTGGTCAACAATCAGTACAACAGAGTTCTACAAAATATGGTGGTGTCGCTTCTAGAGCTGTAGATGGTAATACTAATAGTGATTTGAATATTGGCCAATCATGTACTCATACACCGGAAGGAGTGTCTGGTTGGTGGTGTGTTGATTTACAACAGTTGTATTATTTCAACCAAATTAAAATATATAACATACAAGACACGAGATGTAAGTACATAATATGTAAACTTATAACCAATATTTTTAATTCAGAAAATAGAACAAAAAAAACGGTGAAATAATATGCCGATGATATAGATATAACTGCAATTCGGGAATAAAAATGAGTGTATTGGCGATTTATTTTTATTTCGTCCAATTAAATAACCGCCTCGAGTCTGTTTATTCCTGTGGATCAGTGCCTGATAAACGTTCGGAGTTTCAACCTCTGTATGTTTAACACTGGCTTAGGTTGTTAAACTAATAATACTTTCATTTGCAATTTTCCCCACGGGCACCACGGGAAATGAAATGAAATGGGGTTTAAAATGTCTTACTGTTCTGCCCCGACTGGGATAATGAATACGGGCATACGCCATACAGTGTGCTATGAGAGATATTTTACCCGGACACCGGCGCTAAGGCCTACTCTTAAATCGAATTCCAACTGCCAAGGGATCTTTTACGTGCACATCAATGTGTACCCGAGACCTCGGTTTTTCGTCACATCCGAATTACTAGACACTGACAATGGGGGAATTCGATATAAGTGTAGGCTGTAACGCCGTTGTCCTGACAAAATTAAATTTCGCTCATAGCACACAATTTGGCGTATACCCGTCTTTATTATTCCAGTCGGAGCAAAATAGGACGTTAAACCCTATTTCAAGTCATTTTCAACACACGTGATAGTGCCATCATATATGTACTGGACAGAAGGATACATCACCAATACATGCACGTGTTATGTTTCGATGATATAATATAAATTAAGTAATATTGAAAATTAAATTACATACTGTAATTCCAGGCAGGAATAAAGACTGTCGGTGGATAATTACGCTTGACAATTCAAATATTTACAATAGAGCATAAAACTAGTTTATTCGAGGTGAATGTTTCCTGACAACCCGTATCCGAGAATTGTGCAACTGTAATACAATCTGTGGAATAGCACGGATAACTGTATATCTTCATACAATTGAAGAATCAAATTTTTTCATCGACTTCTTGGCGAACGGATGAATATTTTTATTTTATAATCAAAGACAATTATCAGTGATATATACTATTCAAGTTCTACGTGTAGATTTGGTAGATGTTGGTGAATTTATTACGAAGCAACACACGATTCTCGGGATTTCATTTTGTTATCACCGCTGCTATACCAAATAATTTTCATCTGTATGTTAATATCTATAATTAATAATTATTACTCTTAATATATGTTTTAATGTCTCATTCAGTGACTCCGAGAGATTTTAACGAACCTGTTCGATGCTGGAAGAGACAGAATGCCCCTTACAACAGTACAATTAATTGCCCGTTTATTCTTAGCATTTTTGTCTATTGAATGTTGCTGACTGAGGATCGCTTTTTAAACTAGGTAGAATACAACCTTTTGGTAAGGATCGATTGTCCCTGATTTTCTATTTGGTTTATTTTCAGTTTGGGGGAGATTACAAGGATTTGAGATAAAGACAAGTTCTAGTGGTCAGTGTAGTGGACAAGGACTTCAATCAGCTACATCATGTTATAAAGATACAACATCAACAATACAGTCTGTTTATAATGTAACTGGATGTAATCAAGGTTCATCTACATCATTTTCTGGTAGAACTGTCTATGTGTCAAGCTTTAACGACTCCCTAGTAATGTGTGAAGTTGAAATATTTGCAGGTACCTGGCGTAATTATATGTTACATTACGATTGCTGACGCTAGTTTCCAATTCTTTAAACGAGAAATCAACTCATTTATGTAAGATGGAGATAAAGAGCCGATAGTTATCGCTGTGGTAGTTTAAAAATAGATAATGAAAAAGAAATATATTTAACATTTAAGTCGAATTACTTTATTCTTAACGACGCAACGTTGTGACTCTTTGAAGGATACCGTAGTCTCAGTTTTCAATGCTACCGTTGTTGAGATGGCCATCGTGTTTTAATCTGTTTAAACTTACAACAATTCGATAGGCCAAATGAAAGACCTACACTAGGCAGATATAGCTCTTATATATGATGCATTAAACGTAATCGTAAAGAAATGTCGCTACACTAAACAGTTACCAACCCATATCGACACTCTATTTAACCCATTTCAAAGGCAGTTAGCTCAGTTGTATCGAGAGTTCTATAAGAATAAGAATACCATGTATCGTGCACGACACCTGTCCCTACTTAAAGCGAACGTATGGGAAGGTTTGTAAAGATACATTAAATAATAATAATATCTTTATTTAAGAACTTTGTGGCCAAAAGCCAATGGTACAAAATTTATACAAAATAAAAAAAAAACAAACAACACATAATTAATCAATATATTAATACACAGCACAGAAAAATATAAAAAAAAATTAATATTTATGTTTGTTATATTGATAGAAATTCTTCCCTTATTTTCATACCTTTTTTGATATATACACAAAGATTCTTAATATCATTTTCGTTTTTACATTGGAATAACGACTTATATTCCGGCAGGAAGTTCATTCTAATATCTTGCACGATTGGACAGACAAGAATGAAGTGGTACTCGTTTTCAACATTTTTATTATATTCATTTGTCGTTACCTATTTATGAACTATTATAGTCCAATATGGTCATTTTTCTAGCAATGATCAAAAGTTTTTCGAACAAAATGGCTATTTACATAAATTATTTTTCGAACCGTGATCAGAAGTGTTTGAACAAAATCGCTATTTTCATAAAACATATTTCCAACAGTGATCAGAAGTGTTTCGAACAAAATTGCTTTTGTTCATAAAACATTTTGGAAATGCTTAGATTTTGGGTGTATTTTCCTCTCCAGAATTGCATACAGTGACACTAAATATACAATAACATTATATGTACATTTGGTAAAATATGATAAAGGATACTGCATCAAATACAGCACAATATATGGATATTTAATTAAATGTAATACGAACTACCACTGAGCAATAAATCATTGATCTAATGACATATATATCATATATATTACAGATCTAGCACAATGTAATACTGGATACTACAGTACATCACGTTCTACATGTCAGCCATGTAATACCTGTTATAATAATACATGTGATCCTACTACTGGTGTTTGTACTGGAGATTGTAAAACTGGTTTTTATGGTGCAAAATGTCAACAGAATTGTAATGATGGTTGTTTAAACAATAAATGTTTTAAATCTGATGGTAGATGTAATGACTGTAAACCTGATACAGTTGGTCCATACTGTAACCTTACATGTGGTACAGAATGTCAACCAAGAACAGACCAGACCAGTGTCACTTGTGATAGAAATGGTCGATGTACTGAATGTACTGTTGGAAGATATGGTGATAGATGTGATACGAACTGTAATACTGGTTGTACTGTTTGTGATAGAGATGATGCCAACTCTTGTACTGAATGTAAAGATGGTAGATGGGGATCATCATGTAATAAACTATGTAATACTAACTGTAAACCAGTAGTTTGTACAACTGTTGGTAAGTGTGATCAGATGACAGGGGATTGTATAAATGGATGTGTACCTGGTAAAATAGGGTCCAACTGTACAACGGGTAAGTTTTTTATTCTACCTTTATTTGAATATAATTGAGTTTAATTTGATTAAACATAAATAATATGACAATATCCCTCGAACTCAAATATACTATCATCAACTCTTCACATGGTTCGTACTAGTATTATAAAGTCAATCTTCACCACATACAGAATATCCATGGACAACCCTGACATATATTTTTGGAAGTACATTTAATAATGATTGTAGTTCTTAGAAGGATTATGTCAGATGACAGGATATTGTAATGATAGACAATAAAATGAAATGAAATGGGTTTAACGTCCTACTGTTCTGCTCCGAACTGGGCTAATGGAGCATACAATGTGCTATGGGGGAAATTTTGCCCGGACAGGGGCACTACGGCCTACTCTTATATCGAATTCCAACTGTCAAGGGATATTTTACGTGCACACCAATGTGTACACGGGACCTCGGTTTTTCGTCCCATTCGAACGACTAGACAGCTGTCCTTGTCAGGCAATCCGTCCTGCATCACTTCCTCGTCCAATGCAGGGATCGAACACCCGACCTCCAGGCTAGCGAGCCAGCGTCTTGCCCAAATATTATTTATATTTGTAATAATTATTTGTATTATATCGATCATCGGTTGATATGAACCGAATATATCAACCTAAGATGACGTCATGACAGGTTGATATGAGATATAACTTTTATGCACATTAAAGAAAAAACTCCCGCCAGTTGTATATATCACACATATCTTTACATGAGACAGTTAGTACATCTACCATTTCTATCACAGCCGCCAACACACCCAGTATTTACAGTTCATAACTACTTTTTGACCAAACTACGTACTTAATTTATTTCGTGTATCGAATGATAAAAAGTAGACTTCAGTGCATGTCTAATAACACAAATGGTTGATGATAACATATATATTATGAATGTTGGTCTGGTATTAACAGATTGTGAAGCAGGTCTTTATGGTGATAACTGTACCAGTAAATGTGGTAACTGTGCTGATGAAACATCATGTGATATAATTACTGGTAGTTGTGGTCTTGTTGGTTGTGCTGATGGCTTTCAAGGTCCAACTTGTCAGGGTAAGCTACATTTACACAATTTTAAAGAAAATATTATTTGTATACTGTACATTTTATTACCTACTGATTGACAGTTTCGGTATTTAATTATAATTATAACACGGTCAGCTGTAATATGCATAGGCTGGAACTTTTCTTTTATTCATTGGATACTAAGAGTACCTCTAACATGTCTGTCTAAAAACGAAATATTATTCCCGATAATAATATATTTCTATAATCTGGGGTGGGGGAGTCTTAAGGTTTAACGCGTGCACGTGACATCCCAAGGTCTCCCACTGAGTCAACTGGTGTGGTTTCGATTAACCGCTTGTATGTGACAAGGAGTTATAAGTCGTCTGTCCAGCCTCGTCGGTTTTCTCCGGGTCCTCCGGTTTCCTCCCATTGATAAAGACAACGCCTACGCGCCAGTGAATTATTGAAATAGAATTGAACCATATATATTAGTCCCGAAATGACCTAGTTTGTGTCGAGTGGACGTTAAGCCTCATTTATCTCTCTCTCTCTCCTTCCCTTTCTCTGATCCGAAATAACAAAACGGTATGTTCATAAATATACGGTTTACAATATCATAGTTGCGCAATATCATTATTATATTTAACAGACCGTTTGTCTTGCTGCGCATGTACAGCGGTAAGTCCTGTTGTAAGTGGTGTGATTGGTGTTCTGGTTGGTGTTCTGTGTGGTATACTTGGTACGATAGCAGTCTTCCTGCCATATCATACTTATAAGAAAAGGTAACATTTATGAATTACAGCGGCTATATATCTCAATTTACGCTTTAATAGTTTATCAATTCAATTAGCTATCTTATGCCTTTGTGGTAGTTTCATTGACCTCCACTGAACGGTTCGTGTCATGTTCGGTCGTACACATCAAATCAGTTTGATCTACAAATAATTGTGAAAGACGTCCGCTGATCTCTTGCATTGCATTGTGTCATATATCAATCACGTCTACCGCATTGCCCCGTGAAAGAATCATGTGATAGCCGAGCCATCTAAATACTGGTCTTGTGCTGACAATTTAACGTTGTCGCATACTGCTGGCATCTGTGTTCGTCCTTAGGACCGTTGGCGTTGCTCATATAATTTTTGTTAACTAGCTGAACAGAGGCTACAATAATCTGTATATTATCATTTTGAAACTTATTGATGTGAAGGCTTTCTACAGATTGATGCTACTTTGTTATGCAAACTACGTAGACTACAATTATTTACTTGATGCCTATGGTTTAATGGTAGATATCAGTTATCTTATAAAAGGATTGGAATATATTTCAGGCGTCAATCGAATAACCCAAAGGACGACACTGTTCCTGATTATGTTTACAGTAATACAGATTTAAACCCAACTAGTTCTACAACAGATGATACATTAACCACTAGATATCAGAATATTCTCACTAATACACGTGATGTAGAATATGAAAACCAGTCGTTTAATACAGAAGACAATACGAGAAATATGTATGACACATTAGATCTTACATCAAATGATACGCCAAATACGTATACATCTATAGTGTCTGGCAAAATCAAATAGATGTAATAATGTATATTGTATAGAAACAAAAAAATGATATATAGCGAAACATTTTATTAATGTTTCTTACGTTTAAAATTCTTTGGATTCGCAATGACCTCCCTGGACGATTTAGTCGTTACTATCATAGACATATGAGGTGTCTGAACCATTCACCAGACGAGGTTATCCGGTAAGGAATTGGAATATCAATTGTATTGACACTCGATCTCAACAACAACAACTCGAGTGCTAAAGTATTTATCAGTAGTGCATCAAGTAGATAAAATTGTTTAGATTTTTATTATTAATAATTCACTATAATTTAATCATAAGCCAGTGATACATTGGTTCATACTTTTCAATGATGGTTCCGGTCTTATATATCGGAAGGTCTTTTTTGATAGTTGTAGGATTCGTTTGAGGAATTCAAATATCCATTATAACAAACATTCAATGTATTTCTATTATATTGTTACGTTATATATAGTCATATTATATCTAGAGCCGACACGGTCACTCAGTGAGTAAGACGTTGGCTCGCTAAATTGGAGCCCCCGTTTTGATCCCGCTGTTGACCGAGAAAGTTCATCGGGATTGGTTCATTGTGCAGAAACTGTCTCGCTTTAAAATCATGTCACCCACGCATTCTCATCATTAGTTAGATTATGTGAGCTATAACGAAATCTGTTGAAATAGCATTACCTCCTCGGTAATAGAAGCTGGGGTAAAATAAATAAGACTTTGGCAATTGATATCCAAACGTTGAGGGCTACTAAAGTAAAAGACAGTTCAGATAATATGATTAACATTGTCGCTACCCAAATTCTTGAAAACAATGCAAGCGCGCAGGACAATCCTGACATCAAAAGAAACTACAAAGGCAGCCACCTAATCTGAAACGCCTTAACCAAAGCAAAATTTAGTTCATCTATAGTGTATCTAAATGCCTCGATGTTCGATGCCAAATAGTTCATATTATTTTTATAACTTCACTCTTAACGTCAATATGAACTGGGACACAAAGAACCTCATGTATGCCTTAACTTGTAATGGGGGGGGGGGCACTTTTATATGGATGAAACCGGCACACATTGAACCTGGGCCCTTATTTGTAATTAGACACATATTAAAATGTGGAAAAGACCTACAAATAAAATTGAAAGATGTCCCGTTTCATAAAATGGAAGTCGGTCAAATAACAAAAACAAAAAAATACTTCCCTCGACTTAATATTGAATAAGTAACAATGGGCCATTAATTTGATTTATTTTCTTAATCTATTCCGAGATTATTTTCTACTCATTGTTCCTATTTTATACCCATATACAACAAATTAACACACTTGTATACAAGTTTTCTGTTACCACATACAGTTGTAACTATAGACAATTTAAACCACAATGTTACTATGTAAATATGTGTAAATTAAAGTATGGTGTCCATCCCTACGCATTGACATCATTTATGAATATTTTTCTATGACCATTTGAGACAGATTTTAGAAACGTGTATCTATTTTTTATACTTTTTGTACTTTTGTAATTAAAAAAATAATGTAAAACTATTTACTATGCAATGAACTATAACCTTGTCTTTTAATGCTGTGTTATGTCAATACTTGTATATTTATAGATGAATAGTTTGTTAACATTATGCTTTATAACACTATTTATAATAAATAATATACAATATTTAGCCCCCTGGTAGTTGTAGTTGTAGTGATTAACGGGCGGAGCACTGGTAGCTGATCGGACACAAGCCACGTCTGCTGGTCGGTAGACAGGTTTACTTGTACCTGAAATTATAAACAACACAGGGGTTTTGGAAGGTCGAATGGTTAAGTGGTGGACACAATAGCCGAATCAATCGGCGTCGAAATTCGCCTAGTGTCCATTGTCATTCTGTCGAATGATTCGCCCGAATCAAACATGTTTGATATATTCGTCTATTGTGTCCACTTCACCGAAGCATTCGACCGAATGTAGTATTCATTGCCCAATTACCACCCATCATCCACTCATATCGAGAAGTCACATGATTGTTTGAAGACATAGACACCGGCATGTTTAATCATGTGATGTGAAAGGCGATGCAATCGACTGGTGAATCGGGCGAAGCTTTCGGCTAGTGTGTCCACCCATTCGACCAAATAAAATTCGGCGCTGATTGATTCGGCTGAATGATTCGGTTAACGTGTCCACTGCTTTAGCACATGTGCGTCGTCTCATAAGGTCTGTCATTGAGTTAACTGGCATGGTTTCGATTCCCCGGTTGTACCTGACAAGGAGTAGGGTCGCCTGTCCAACCTTGTGCGTTTTCTCCAGTTCCTCTGATTTCCTGCCACAGCTAAAGACCCCTACGCGCAAGCGAATTGTTGAAATAAAATTAAACCATATGTTAGTCCCGAAATGACCTAGTTTGTGTTGAGTGGACGTTAAACTCCATTTCTCTCTCAATAAACACAATTTTTTAAATGGTGTCATCTAATACATTGCAGAGGTGTGATCTCGAGTATGACTTCGAGTCCCATGTCATCGAACTTCAAACCCAAGTCGAGTCCTAAGTCCCTGACTTTAGTATTAAGCCCGAGTCATAGTTTCTAGCTCTGAAACATTGTGATAGTCACAGTCGATCAGTGATTAAGACTCTGGCACACTAAAAAGGAGGTATCAGGAAAGAGGGCATGGCAAGGAAATGTGTCTAGTTGTTCGAATGGAATAAAAAACTTGGGTAGTACCCTGTATTCCATTGGAAGCATGTTAAAGATCGCACAGGAGGGTTGGGTGTTCAAGTGGTTAGTGCATGCGCGTTGTATCATAAGGTTTTATGTGACAAGAAGTAGGGATTGCCTGTCCACCCTCGTGGGTTTCTCCAGGTCCTCCGGTTTCATCCCACTGCTAAAGATCCCTACCCGCAAGAGAATTTTTGAAATGAAATTGAACCATGTTAGTCCCGAAATGACCTAGTTTTACGTCGAGTGGACGTTACACTCCATTGCTCTTTTGCTCTGACAATTGGAAATTGAAGAAGAGTAAAAGAGTAGGCTCTAGACTTAAGAGCCGCTGTCAAGCCCAAATTTCCCCACATAGCACACTGCATGGTGTATCCTCTACTTTATTAGCCCAGTAAGAGCAGTAAAGTAGGATGTTAAACCAGATTTAATGTTATTTACCATTTGAATGATCTTCTGAATTTATTATTGTCGTCTCTGGAGCACCATACTGTTCATCTTCCGTCTGAAGTCTTCTAAGGGCAATTTGTCGTTTAGATATATCTCGTCTACTAATGTCAACCAGTTCACAATTGGTGCATGTACACTTCTGGACGGTACATCTCCGTTTATGACCCTTTAAGGGACTGAGAACACCGTGATTTCTACATTTACTACAGTGAGGTTTACGTAGTTTATCCGCCATCTTGAACTGCAAAAAAACCCCAAAACCCCAGATAAATATAAAAGGTATGAAAATACAGATAAACGAAGTTTACCCCGTAGCCCACACCATGAATCTAGATTACCAGGTGTTATAAAATGAAAGGGGGTTTAACGTCCTACTGTTCTGCTCCTAACCTGGGCTAATGAAGACAGGCATACGCCATACAGTGTGCTTTCATGAGAGAAATTTTGCTCGGGAAGCGGCGCTAGAGCCTACTCTTATATCGAATTCCAACTGCCAAGGGATCTTTTACGTGCACGTGCACGCCAATGTGTACTTGGGCCCTCAGTTTTTTGTTCCATCTGAACGACCAGACAGCTACACTACATCTTCATTAGCCCCGATGTAGTAGAAAAGTTGGATGTTATTTGATGATCAAAACCAACCAGTTCCAACTACAATTTCCTCTGCAATCCACGCATGGGGATGAATCTACTGTTGACTTTTTCATTTCGTGTTTTTAATTATAGCGGAGTACACTGTAGCGTGGTTCAAATCGTGAACAATTAGATATCGTCCGGAAAATGCAAACGACGCTCAGTGGATTGAAGAGCTTTACATTCTATCGGGTATCAAATTTTTATTACTTAAACCTGATGTCAATATATCGGATTACTGGTGCAGAGAGAGAGAGAGAGAGAGAGAGGGGGGGGGGGTTAAAGTCCACTCGACACAAACTAGGTGATTTCGGGATTAACACATGGTTCAATTTTTTTTTTCAATAATCCGCTTGCGCGTAGGGTTCTTTAGCAGTTGGAGGAAACCGGAGGAGAAAATCCACGAGGTGGGACAGGCGACCATACTCCTTGTCACGTACAACCGGGGAATGGAAACCACGCCAGTTGACTCAATGACAGACCTTATCTTACAGTGTGCACGTGCTAACCATTCGGTCATCCAACCCCCGGATTACTGGTGCATACACACATAATTTCCGCTTTAAGTCAGGTAAACTTATATTATTCAAATAAAATAGTCGTTGTTTATCTGCCATTTACAATATTTTAGAAACACGCTAACAAGATGTGAGCATCACCTTGGTTAAAGTCACACATCTCAACCCAGAGTAGATAAATCCGGCTTTAACCTGAGAAAGCCCAAGGGACTATACTATGCCCTCGCTTCACAACCGACGTGATAAGCTAATGTTATTCCATCGCTCGGTATTCGCATACAACCGCTTTTGTCTATGGCTGGTATCAGCCTTGACAGTATTGCGAACACCCCTTTCTTTAGGACACCATCAGGGGCTATATCTCCCCCCCCCCCCAAAGATCGATTTCGATTTTACTTAACATAAAAAGAGAGATACTATTAGCTGGATGGTGTTCCAATATCTCCTTGCTAAGGTTTTACATATGGTTATTATGCTCCTATTTACACAGATGGCTCTAAAGATGGTGATTGGGTAGCTTCGGCTACCGTGACGCCATTTGAGACCATTTCTGTGCGTCTTCCACTAGCTGCTTCAACATTTACAACTGAGATCCATGCCCTTCTTCCTGCATTGAAGTTCATTTAATCATCACATTAACTACAGCACATCATCTTTACTGATTCTTCGTCCTCGCTCCAAGCAATTAAAAATAAACGACTTGAACACCCGTTAGTAGCAGTTGTTCATCGTCTGCTATTATCTTACGGGTTTAACAGCAAAGTCGTTGTCTTTTGCTGGCTCCCAAGTCACGATGATATAAGGGAGAATGATCAAGCACATTTTGCTGCCAAAACTACTTTAGATCTCCCCTTATCACCGTGTTCAATACCATATAAGGATTCATCAATAACCCGTTTCTTTTATTGCCGTCAACAACGTTCGTGGGATCTAACAGGCACTAACAAACTTCATCACATTGAAAAAAATCAAAAAGTTATTGAGATGGCATGGGACAAGAATGGATTCCGCTCGGTGCTAAATGATAACCTCAACTGAATTTTTCGTCATAGGTCACGAGATGTAAACAGGCCTAGCGCTAATCCCAACCCTAACCCTGGACCTAGCCCCATTGTTTACCATAACCATAACCTACAATCCTGCCAACAATCACGTGCCCTAACCTTATTTACATCTCAGCGACCTTGACAAAAATTGAGCTGGCCGTAACAAATAGATTTAGCCATAGTTACTGGGTGCCATTGGGTAACCAAACTAGCGCCAACCACCTCCAGAGAATGCAGGTGTTGTGAAGGTCTTCTTCTAGGTCCTCCAATGCCTCCACCATTTGACATTATGGAGAGCCAAGAGAATGAAACACCCACCAGAAGTATCACTTGGAAGATCCAAGTTCGCGAAGCCGGCCATGAAGACGCCTAACATAGCCACTACCATTGAGACATTGAACTTGAAATGGGCCAAGACGTCGCCTCATCCTTGTCGACACACTACCGAGCGCTGCTAGCGGAGAAACTGGAGTACCTGTACTTGAAGTCATGTCAGTTTACCAAGGATGCTATACAAGAGTACTCTAGCCATGCCCAAGCATGGGTCAAGAAGTCCTATGGCAAGCGACTTCAGGATACTGTGAAGACAGAGCTTCATCGCCTCCTATCCACGGTCTCTAAAACTGTCACACACCCTCCGCCATCCTCAATGCACATAACACACAACCGTCTAAGGGACACACCAAAACAAAACACACCCAACAAGAGAAGGATATGCATTAACACTTCCTCAAAGCGTGCTGCTAGGCCAACCCGTTCGCCCCGGTGTGTCTGGCTCACCTACTTCCTCCGGATCTATATCGACGCTGAACGCACTTGTCAACTGTCTGTCCCCTAGATCGCCCATCATTCCTATCCCTAGAATCACCACCAGATCTTCCACCAGATGTAGGCGATCACTCAACCTATCCCTAAAGAGACCTCACAGCTACAAAGATAAAGACGAGAAGGATTTATGGTTCCTACCACCCGTCATGGCAAAGACCCTGGTTATTGGATCCTCTAACCTGGCTAGGATTGCATCCTTTCTCGGGGACTGGGAGATCCATAGCTATTCCGGAGCCAAGATCAGCCACATCAAATTGTGTTTATTTTGTCTATACCAAATATATGGCTTTGTTGCTCCCTGGTCACTGTTAACCCCCATCAATTAACTATATTTAAGTTTTAATTATCCTTTGATCAATTTAACTATTATCTTGTATTATAACAGCATTTATCTATGGCGTCTTTTTTGTTTTACTATAAATATCACCTTTTAGTTTAACTAAATATCATTTGT